TTCTGTTGTGCATAACGTAGCTGTGAGTCAGTACCAGCTTGACTTAACCACAGCAACTGTGTCCCAAACAGGAAAGCTGACTGTCGTCTCTGTTGTGTTTCACCAAGTCACTTACTAGTCACAGCAGCGTAGCAGGACAGAGGAGAACGGCCCCAAAGATTTCCTCAGCTATAATCTTTATGGAAGGGCCCTGGTGGTAGAGTGGTTACGGTCTTGGCTGATACCCAGAATGTCAGTGGTTTGAATCCAACAGCTGCTTTGTAGAAGGCTAGCTCAGTCCGTCTTACAGATGTAAAGCCTTGGAACCCTTGTGGGGCAGTTCTCCTTTGTCTTACAGGGAGGATTGCCTCAACAGCAGTGGGGACGGAAGCTGCCCAGGAACAGAGCAGCAGGTCTTCTCCCCCATGGAGTAGTTGTGGGGGTGATGCTGCTGCCCTTTTGTTTAGCAGCCAAGCACTTTAGGCACACTTTCTTAAAAGTATTCCAGACCATCAGCATTAAGAAAGGCAGATCGAGAAAGACCGATTTGGGCCAATCTAAATGTTGAAACCGGTTGGGCGGTTCCAATCCACCAGCCAACTCCTTGGGAGAAAGATGAGACTTTCTGCTCCTGCAAAAATGTACAGCCTCCGAAATCCTGTACAGGGCCTCTGTGAGATGGAACGGACTCAATGGGCATTTAACAACAATAGCAACAAATTAAGAATAGTTCAAATATTATTTATGATCTGTTACTGGAAGGATTACAGAAAGAGCATTTCCTGGAATTGTATTAGTCAGTTCTACGAGTGTTCCTAGTACTATTCCAGTTCACACACACGTGGACTTATTCCAAACAAAATGGATTTAATCCTCTTCCTCGGATTGATAGATGGCTATCGACAAGTTCTTTCAGTAACACGCTGTTCTTCATTCTGTTCTACTGTTTGTTCCATGGAAAAACTGATTTTAAGGTAAGTGCTAATGCAGAATATTTAACAAAACTCAAGTAGACATCTTTGCAAATTATTGAAACTTTGCCACAAGTTTATGGAATGCTGCCGCTGGTAGTGTAGTGGTTACGAATCGGGCTGTGAGCTGCAAGGTCAGCAGTTCGAAACTACCAGCTGTTCTGCAGGAGAAAGATGAGGCTTTCTGCTCCCGTAAAGATTTACAGCCTCGGAAACCCTATACAGGGTCACTATGAGTCGGAACCGACTCCACGGCACATTACAACAACAACAACCATTCATGAAACAATAGTTTTAAAATGGATCAAGCGTTTTAAGGAAGCTGGGGAAGTACTCAAAGATGAGCGAAGAGAAGGAAGCCAGTTAACATCAACGAGTTCAGAACCGGGGTGGAAGAAGACCATAGAATTACCATCGATGCAAAAGCTACGCTAGTTGGGATTTTATATGGTTTGGCATTTTCAATATGAGTTCACTTCTTGAGCTCAGCAAGCTCTCAGTTTGATGGATACCCAAAGCATACCCAATCCAGGAAGATGAGCTAGTTTAAAGAGCTGGTCTTTCCGATTGAAGCTAATGAAGGTGATGTTATGAATCGACTCCATGCAGTGGGTTTGGTGGGTTTGGATGTGCCCGCCTATGGAATGGTTACTTATGGATCACAGCTCCACTCTAACACAGAGAATTTTAGCATGAGTTATTCAACGCCACAGCCACTAGTTTACGGGGTTGTTTTAACAAACAGCTCCACATTAAGGGGCAAATCTCTCTCCTCCTCCCTTTCTCTGTTCCTCCCTCCCTTCCGTCTCACTTTCCTTTCCTTCCTTTACGTCTTATGATCCATCCATCCGTTTTGTTGTTGAAAGTAAACAGGAAAACACACACCAATCCACTGTTTTCTGAATGTATAATTCAGTGACATTGATTACATTCTTCAAGGTGTTCATCCATTTTCACCCTCCTTTTCCAGACTTTTCTTCTGTCATTAACAAACTCAGGGCTCCTTAATCCTCTGCCATTAACATAAACTGACTGCTCCTAAGCGTCCTTTCTTGCTTCTCTGTTTGCTTTTGTTAACTGATTTGCATGTATGCCTGTGACATTGTAGACTATGCACTGGACTGCTAACCAAAAAGTTCAAACCCATGAGCCACTCCTTAGAAATCCTATACAGGGTCACTGTGAGTCAGAACTGACTTGAGGGTACTTAACAAGTTAACAATAACGTGCTTGTTTGGTTAAAGAAGACTTACGGGTATAATTTTGGTGTAAGATTTAAAGATGATCTCAGAACATATCATTTTGGTAATTCATCTGGCGCTGCAGGATAAGCAATGGAATTTGAACCATGAGGTTGACAGTTCAAACCTACCGACTGCTCCTCGGATACCTTATATACGTGGTTGCTATGAGTCAGAACCGACTCGGCACCACTAAACAGCAAAAACATCCAAACATAGTGGTTCCTGAAGATCTGGATTCTATCAAAATTTGAAATTGTGTTTCACACTTTCTCCTTTTTGATCAAGATTCTATAGTAGAATCATTGATCAAAATGTTTAGTCATGGTTGCTGGGTACATCAGTTCTGATACAGCAGATGATACATGGTTGTTCATGTAGGTAATAAGCCGTACATTCTGGTTCCTTCTGTCCTTGACTCTGGTTCCTGTTCTGTTGTTTCAGGGCAATTGAAACGAATTGTTAGACCTTGAGTGGCTACTTACAAGCTTTCAACACCAACGGACAATTCTTATCAGTCTTTTTTTTATTTTTTTATTTTAAGTTTTTAAAATTTCAGGGTAAATGATAGAAGGTCAAAGCTACATAATGGGTGCATCACTCTTTATTGTGTGCTGTGGAATAAAGCAGTGGACTGCAAAGTCTGTTTGAACCACAAGATCAACAGTTCAAACTCACCAGTCACTTCTTGGAAACCCTATACAGGGTCGCTATGAGTCAGAGCTGACTCAATGGCACTTAACAACAAAAACTCTTTATTGTATACATGAGTATTTTAAGTATAGTCAATTCATTTATGAATTGAGACGGTCAGATGGATATTATGAAAGGGCAGATCCCATTAATATAGTCCCACTAAACCAACCATAAAAGTGGTTGGGTCAGTGGGGATATTAGTGGTTTCACAAGCGACGGGGAAGGATATTCAGATTCATCATCAGCCTAAGGCTTATTTCTATGACGCTGAGGGGTCACACATGCGTACACCCTCTAACCGTTTTTATGAATTCTGATACCAACCATCCCTCCCAAGGCCCTCTCTACTTCTCAACTGGGTTCAATATTCCATTGTAATGGCCACCCAGAACTCACAGACAATACTCATAATTAATGCATTTTATTAGGGAAGTTTGTGCCATCAAGTCAGTTTCGACTCATAGCAACCCTGTATGGGGTTTCCAGGAGTGGCTGGTGGGTTTGAACCACTGATACTGCAGTTAGCAGTCCTTCGCTTACTTTACAGCACTACACTAGGACTCCAGGTTGCAGTTGAGATCAGAAATGCTCTGGGTGTAGTTCTTTAAGACAGAGTCTTCTCAGCCATGCTGCAGGCTTCCTTTCTTTAGTCCTTGGCTTCAGTTCTGCTTGAGGAAAGCTCTGTGACCTCTGTTGGTAAATGCCCAGTGTGTACTTCACTCTACTATAAACCTCATCCCAAAGGTGCTCTGTTCTAACTACCTGGAGCTACCCCAACTAAGTTCCTGGAGGCCCCTCACTCCACAAGTGTAAGCCTTTTGCTCAAAGGTACTCAAACTGTGCGTGATCCGTGGGCCAGGAAGCTCGGCACTCTGTCTCATGTTCTGGTTCTTGGTTCTGCTGATGCCACTCCACAACCACATCTGTTTCCTGCAGCAGGGAGGTTCAATGTGCAGGAATCTTGGGTTCCACTGGTTGCACTCCCCTTCAGAGTCTTTCTTGATGATAATAAGTTCCACCCTTCCTGATGGTTCATTGTATACCCAACAGTGTGGCAAAACTGATCAATCCCCACATTAGATCTCCAAATTTGTACATTCGCCACTGAATTCCATAATCCTGTAGCATCTTAGGAGTCCTGGTGTGGCACTGTGGTTTAATGCGCCAGACTGCAAAGCCATTTGAACTGCAAGGTCGGCAGTTCAAGCTTACCAGCTACTCCTCAGAAACCCTACACAGGGTCGCTATGGGTCGGAATCGACTCGACGGCACTTCACAACAAGAATAGCATCTTACCCACTTTTGTTACCCAGACCCATCAGGAAAAAGTCATTTGGGGAAAGTTAAAAAGGCTGTGACAGTAAACTGTATTAAATAATTCTTTGCAGTACACCAACATTTTTTTTGGCAGAGACCCTTCAACAGATTGCAATAAACCAACACATGACAGCGGTTTCATAGCACTTGCACAAGCGAATAGATAGTCATGTTTGTAAACTGGTAGAATTTACTACCTAGTAATTATTGTTGTGATTAAGTGCCATAGGGAACCTGTACAGGGTTTCTTAGGAGCAGCTGGTGACTTTGAACTTACGACCCTGTGGTTCAAACCGACCTTGCGGCACTAGAGAGTCCCAGTAAAATACCAGTACCGTGGTCATGCTGTGTGACTGTAGTTTCATAATAGTTTTGGGAAATATGGAAATTGTGTCATGATATTCTTCAGAGCATACATAGCAGTACATTTGGTATTTCTGTGTACATAGTACCTACTGTATGATTATAGATTTTTGCATACTTACCTGTGTATTGTGCTGTGTGGATGGCATAATAGCTTTACTAGGGTCCTTTGGATTTTTCATAATCTGCCCTCATTGGCTGACTCTCCAGAACCCAATTTATGAATATGATGAGCCTCTACCTGAATAGACATAGGTATTTGCTGTAAGCACAATACAGTCACATTGTTCTTGATAAAAGTAGTGATAACTGATGTGTAAAATTTTTTTGTTTCCCTTCCCATGCTCCCCCCCCCCCGCCCCCCAAGCCTCTAGTCCCTTTATATTTGTGTATATAGAATTATACAAGTGTAAAAATTTATGTTTTTGTTCAGGCAACCCGGTGTAATTGCCACCAAAAATCTAAAGAGGAAAAATGCACATATGCTGATAAATATACCCAAACACTTTGGAGAAGAATTTCCGTGAGTAACATATTCCCTAAACTTTTTCTCCAGATGTTTACTATTCTGATGCTTTGTTCTACACTTTTTAGTCTAATCTCGAATGATTTTTAATTGGCTGTGTCTTGGCTGCTCTTTTCTTTTTTGGGGGTAAGCTTTTTTTTTTTGGTGTGTGGGGGTGCTAGTCTTTCAGATGTGTATGTGCTATCTAAAACTTTTCTTTGTGTATATATAAATGCATGTGTATTTAATAGCTTTTCCATTCTGAAAACTGTAGTTCATTTTGAGTGTCTAATCTTCTCTCATTGCATGTATTTATGGGAATAAGATTTCCACATGCCCCAAAATAAATGCAAGTTCTATATGTACTATTTCCTCTTTGTTGTTGTTCTCAAGTGCTGTGGAGTTGGTTCAGACTCACAGCGACCCCGTATGGGGCTTCTGAGCAGTGGCTGGTGAACTTGAACTGCTGACCTGTGTTTCAGACTGACCTTCAGTCCAGTACTTTCCTGCAGCACCACATCAGGACTCCATTCCCTCTTTAGTAACGTAGTAGCATCTAATACTTTAAAAAAAAAACTACAGTCTCCCATAGCTTTTTTTTTTCTTCTGAAACGTCTGATATGCTCTATTATAGTTACTGAAAATATAAACACAGTAAGACAGAAAATGTTAGGTTTTAGGCATCACTGATGATCAAAAACAACCACCTAATCTGTGTTGTTTTCATTTTCTAAAAATATTATTTCTGTATACCTCATGACATACTTACTGCTGATAATAGTGATCATAATTTAATCAGAATTGTCCCTAATTGAGTTCAAAATGTGCCTGACCCAGAGAATAATTTTTATAGCCACCACTTAACATTTTCCTGTTGTATAGTGTCCAGTACTAAGCATTTCTTGTTAAGTGGTTGCTTAGTAAGCCAGCCTTGACTTGGTGTCTTTTGGCTTATTTTTAGAGGTGGAATTATCATAGCCTAAATGAGGAGAGGATATATTAGTTGTGGTAATCCAGGATTTCACAGAAGTATAGGTCTTCAAAGTGTAAAATAGTTGGTTTCATTCCATTCAACAAATAATTACTTTTAGTATTTATATATGGTGGTAATGGAGTCGGTTCTGATTCATAGCGATCCTGTGCTGTACAGAGTTTCCAAGGCTGTAAATCTTTATGGGAGCAGAAAGCCTCATCTTTCTCCCACGGAGCAGCTGGTAGTTTCAAACTGCTGACCTTAAGGTTGGTAGCCCAACTTGTAACCACTATGCTACCAGAGCTCCTTTACTCTCTATATGCTAGGAGTTAACCAACCAAAGTTTGCTGAGCCTCACCTGTCATGGATGTTAGTCTTTTAATAAATATACCCTAATACCCTTGAGAATAAGGGAGACCATTCAAGAATGGATGCTTTTGAGTTACGGTGTTGGAGGAGAATATTGAAAGTGCCATGGGCTGCCAAAAGAACCAACAGATCTGTGTTGGAAGAAGTGCAGCCAGAGTGCTCCTTGGAGGCCAGGATGGCCAAACTTCGTCTATCATACTTTGGACATATTGTCAGGAGAGACCAGTAACTAGAGAAGGATATCATGTTTGTTAAGGTGGAGGGTCAGAGAAAAAGAGGATGACCCACAGCGAGATGGATTGGCAGTATGGCAGCATCAATGGGCTCAAACGTGGCAACAATTGTGAGGTTGGCCCAGGATCAGGCAGTGTTTCGTTCTGTTGTACATAGGGTCTCTAGGAGTCGATATTGACTCGAAGGCTCCTAACAACAACAACAATACCCTTGAAGTAGAAATGGGGGATTAAGGAAGGACATGCACAGATCAGTCAGGTTGTCTCCATTAACAAGTCCATAATAAAGGAACTTGTGATGCATTAGTCTAATTAACAGTGCAAGTAATTCCAAGGTTCAAAGGATTGGGAATGTTTTGGGGTAAGGAATCCAAGAGCTTAGTGTAGAAGATGACAATTATGCTTAATCATGGGAAAAAAACCACACAGGGCTTGTTTGGTAGTCAGTTATGATGTGATTGACTATAGAGATACAGGTTCTTTAATGTCAAAGGACATGTAAACATATCTGGAGGCAATTATAAAAGACTATGTATGCCCCTTGCTCCTAGATGGAGTTGTGGGCTTCCCAGGTTTCTCTAGCTTCCCCATAGAGAAGTGTGAACCTACATATTGATGATCGTCATTGTGCCGTTCTCGGGGGGGGGGGGGGGGGGGGG